AATGTACATTATGTGGAAAATAATGTGTTTTTGAACCTTAAACCGCATAAACACATTGCATTACACCAAATACACAACATAATGTTCTTTTTAGCAACGTCATATGACCCCTTTAATATATATATATATATATATATATATATGTGCTGATCATAAATATAAAAGTGAGTATTTTGATATTTTTAGCAATTTTTACAATACACATTGTTCAAAAGCATCTTTGCAGACAATAGAAAAAAAAAATTTATTTAAAAAGTGAAGAGAATTCGATTAAGTCCTTTGCAATGCTTCATAGGAGCGAACAGGACATCCCACGATTTCTGCTTCTGTAGTAAAATTGATTTCTTTGATTTGTCTATCTTTCTTCAGACTGTGGGTTGTGTAGATATTTGAGACATTGTTGAGATCTCATTTGAAACTGTAAGTGTCACTGGCATCTTTTTCTTAGGAGAAAATTTAAGGTCACTGCTGTCTTGTATTTTTTCTTTTCTATGGGCATGTTTGTGCATGTCTGCAATTAATGCCCATTTCCGAGGCGGATGCATGATAGACTGCAGTATATGCCACAGTCTGCTGTCTGTACGCTGTGTGGAGGTCATTAAAGGTTATTTAGGACACACATCCGGTGTCCTCCCCTTTGGGCTGGGGTGTGTGGTCACTGATCTGATTCTGTCAGATCACTTTGTGCTTTTGTGTGTATATGCACTTAACATATATGTTAGTGTTAGTGCATATGTGGCTTTCTTTTTACCATCTGTATTTTTAAGGTGGTTGTCAATATATTATACAGTGAAAAAAATGATTTAGATATATTAACACTATTTCAGTTAATGAAATGTCCTTTTTTAAGTAAATTTGAGTTAAATCTGTAAAACTTAAATTGGTCTACCATTGCAACCAGAGATGCCATTTTTGTACTATAAAATGTATAGATTTTGTTTTACAGTGAATATTTAAATCTGTACATTTATTATATAACCTTTAGTATATAAATAAATTATCTAACAGGAAGCGTTCTTGCATCATTCTTCTCCAGACAGACTGTTTTTAAGGACATATAGAATAGGAGATCTCTAACACTCCACACTGATCTAGTGTTTTCCTCTAGAGGCTTGTTCTAGAATAGAAGTGTCAGACTCCCAATCATTAAAGGTGTGACATATTTTCGGTTTCTTTCGAGTTTTTCCAATTCTTTTTATCTTCTCTGTCTGTTATGTTGTGAAAGAGAAGAGGTAAAATAGACTCCAAAATAGAAGTGTTTGGAAAAACGGATAAGGTGTCAGTCAAGCAGAGAGATTCTTTAATTAAAAGCACAGATTTTCCATTCTTCCATTCAGTGGCTTAATAACGAATGTCAGTTTGTAATTGAGATTGGTCAAAGGCTCTTGCATGTGAAGTGATTCTCAATTGCAAAAGGTGTCATTCCTGCTCCTGGACATTCATGCAGAGTTTGGATCCACCCTGCTCCAAAATGTCTGTCTGGAAAGTCCTAGTGACCCTGAAGATCTTGATCACCTGGTTCAGATGTGTTTAATAAGGCTGGAGCTTAACTCTGTACCAAAAGGGGATTTTCGCAGTAACGCCATAGAAGAACAATTTGGGTTCCCCAAAGAACCTTTCAGCGAACATATCTTGAACCATTTTTTGAAGA